CAATGGACTCATTTCCTATCGCACAGGAGAACCCTTTGCTTTCGTAGATATCAATATTTTATTTAGGAACACCTAATCTAAAGTTCTTGATCGATTGAAGAGTGACGATTAAGGGGGAGGAAAATACCGTTTCTTAAAGGGGACCCCATCATAGGAGACACATCTCCAAGGGACGACAATTAGCACTTTTACAGAAGAGACCATGGATGATATGATGCAGTCTTATGCCTTTCAAACACTCTGGGCTCAGGCCTCCAACCAATATAGTTGTATCCAGACATGCCGATCAGACATCATTAATGAGAATATAAAGGGATAAATTAAAGTTCGGACCGCAATTTTTTCACTTTCCCTGGTGGCAGTTTTCCTTATGTATGGTACGAAAATCCTTACTTTTCCTCAGGACAAATCAAGTAGATGAATTCGGTAGAAAAGATCTGAGGTTGCAGATCAGGGCTCACGGGAGACATCTACCGTCGAAGCTATGCACCTGACTGAAGGCGACAGAGAGCACTGAAGATGCCTAAAGACATCCCTAAGATGTCCCTAAGACATCTTCCTCAAGATATCGAAAAGCGTTCGACTGAAGATATCTTCAAGATATCCCCTCCAGGATATCCAGAAGCATTCGACTAAGGATGTCTTAAAGATATCCCGAAAGGGATATCTCTAAGATATCGACTGAAGATGTCTAAAAGACGTCCCGAAGACATCCCTTGCGAGATGTCCGAAACCGTCCGAAAGGAGATGTCTTCAGGATATCCTATAAAGACATGGGAACAAGTCGTCCAGTTAGGGACTTCCCTGGGATATCCCTGTGCTGTGTGGGACAGATGTTACTAAGTAATGTCTCAGCCTTCTTGATGGTTGTCCTTCATGTCAGTATGACCCACAGTGAATCATTTGTTTCACTCACATGTGGCAACTTTTTTCAGTCTTTGTCAAAAGCCAGATTGAATGTTATGCTTATCACAGAAGAAGCTTTCCCAGTCATACACAACAATTAACAGCACACCACTGGAAAACACTCATCAAAATATCACAATCTGCAATGCTCACAGGTCTCTTGGCAAAAAGACTATCACGTGTCAGTGACCATGTCACCACCACCAGGACACCAGTGATAACAGACCATGCACAACTGATTTTCACTAGGCTAAAGACTGCATGCAATGAGAAGCACTTGACAGTCTAACTACTAGTACCACTCTGTGACAAAAAAATTAACTTTAGTATTTTTCATCCATGTTGAACATTAATTCCGATCTCATGAATGTGTGATCATGAATGATTGTGTGAATGCTTGCTTCACAACAGCAGCATTGCCCTCACCTGTTGATGTGCAAGATCTCCCAGAACATAGTTTGTGCATGTCTTACACTGTACCATCAGCATCAGACTTATCATAAATTCTTGAAATTGTTAGTAATGTTGGTGGCTCAGTTGCAAATTCACTTCTCCACCTTCTTTGCACCTCACACATGTTCTCAGATTTCCAGTACCACTTCAAAATCAACTTATATTGCTATAAGTTCAAGCAAGCTTGCACCATCTTGCATTACACACTGCCTCCTGGATAACAGTTGCCTGACAATGCGTGATCATTCCATTACACAGTAACACCATCTGTTAGGTACACGTCACACTAAATATTGTCCCTCTCTGATTTATTTAATATATTTATTAAAGTATGTATACATTCTTTGAGACACCCTGTATATTAACACATTTAGCCCCAGAACAGGAGATCTCAGGTTTAGCGCATACTGTGTTTTTCATGTTTTTATTTCAATAGCAATTTTGTAGATGGCTCTGCTGTATGTCCTATTATCTCTGGAACGGCCTAGGATATGTAATGTAATGTAAGTAATGTAAAAAAAACAGTCTTTATTGAAAAATGGCTAGGCTGCAGGGCTAGTGAGTGAATTTCTGACTCGGGGCCGAATGTGCTAATGTCTTAGATGATATTATGTAGTAAGGTAAAATCACATTTTTTGGTGATAAGATGATGCTTATGATAGAAACTCAAAAATATCAAGAAAAGAAGATCTTTCTCAAGCAAAGGACCAGGGTAATAAATGTTTAATGAGGTTTAAAACCAATAAAAAGGTGTGAATTAGATGCACAATACAGGAAGAGATACTGAATCAGACATATGGCAATACTGCCAATGGAAGGTTGTTTGGTATCCATGGTAAAAAATTTAAAAGAGCAATGCACTTGTCTTTGTTGCAAGTTTCTTTGCTTTAAGGTTCATAGCATGGACGTTTGTTTTGTGCTTCTAGCAAATCAGTCATTTCAAGTCGGTGTGCCTCTAAGAATTTATTCTTTGTGAGGGGGCTATATTACTGCTCTTTCCAATGCTAAATTATTAATGTTTTGTGAAGCAGTGCAAGAATAAAACATTTTAGCATCTGATTGAAAAGGGTCCACAAAGTTCTGAGGTGCGTTGAAAAAGCTAAAGCTGTGGTTTGGGAAAGGAGCCAAAAAAACCTAAAATCTCCCAGCCATTTTGGCAATACTAATACCATTGCCAAAACATCCAACAGATAGAGGATTTGAGAGAAACCACCAGTCCAAAAGTTCATGGCCAAGAATGTCAGAGTGTCTGTGGAAACCATCAAATGCATTTTCAACAGATATTTGGGACTACAGAAGAGATTTGAGGATATAGATTGTAAACTCCTTTGCCATTTCCAAAAGCACGAAACCTATGCTGGAATGAATGCCATCTTTCATGAGATAAATTGAAAGATTTGGTGATGGATAATGCTTGGATTTATATGACTGGCTGCAAGGAAGTTTGGACCAATGGTTTTGCTTCTTGTGGTGAAACACATTTTCCACTAAGAAAAGTGCCACTATGAACACTGTGAAACTTTGCTAGAAGTTTCCCATTGTGTGCAAGAAGTGGAACAATAACCAGTGGCTGGTTATTTTTATACCTGCAAGAAAATATGGGAAAAAAAATTGCCATAAAAAGTGAAAGTGAGCTCTAAATTCCATAAAGTTTTGATGCTATTTTACAAGCAGGATATTCCCAGGGTTTATGGAAACGCCACCACTTTCCTTTGGGTGCATATCAAGTAAAGCTTGCAGCCACATCTCAGCTTTAAATATAAATTTTTTTATGAAGATGAAGGAAATGACCTAAATGTTTGCCTTCCTTCCTTCAAGCATCCCTGTTGAATCTCCAAAAATGTACCCTATGGATTTTTGTGAGTATGATCTCAGGGGACACTGGAAGTAGGCAGCCTGAGGGGATAAATGGACACTGGAAAACTTGTAGGGAATGAGGGGAAAAGACAACCTTGATATACTGTGCTAAGGAAGAGTCTAATAGAATGGAAACTGAGATGTTCAACTATTGGCACCATTCAGGGGCAAGAATTTGAGCATAAGAGATGGTGGAGAAAATAAGTCATCCCTGAAGTTCATTTAAAATTCATTACCATAGCAACCAAACTCTGTATATGCTAGAAAACGGGGAAGAAAAAAATTACTACTTTCTCACTATGTCATCCAGGGTAATATTAATATTAGTAAAGCTACATTCAAGGATCCATATTACAACTACCTTGGGTGCAAACTGTACTGCCTGGGACATATTCACCATCTCCCTTGCTGCTATCCCAGAAGGGCACTAGAATCCTTCCCTGCTGATACAGCCCCCAAAAGGATAGAAACAACTGACTTTTGCTATTGATGACCCTTACTGGGAACAACTAGTTCAGAATGGTTTCCAGCAATCACCCACTTCCTCCCATGTAACCTACAGGGTGACATATATACAGTATAGCTGAACAGACTCAAATGCTCATATCCTGGAAGTAACACATCATATAAGAGTGAGTCAAAATTCAATTCATGTGCCATATAATTATACATTGGCAGCTCAGTTGGTTTGAATTTTTTGTGAAAAATTATTTTAAAGTGCCACCATGGCAATCCTGAAAAGAAAAAGGAAATGAAATGAAAATGACAAGTTATGACATAAACACTCAAATTCTTGCACAAATTAAGTTCACTGTTGCAAGATACCATCTCAACCAAAAAAACTCAACTTTCAGAGGAACTGATGCAAGAGAAAAATAAGACCAGGAACTTTTAAAATTTCCCACTGTATGTGGGTGGAAAGTATCGTGGGCCACCACATTCAAAAATAGGCAACTGAATGGCATACAAATAGCCAACCTAAAAGTCTCAAGCAAATTTTTCTTTCCCTTCACACACAACATGCAGCATAGAAAAAGTTAAATCTTGCTGAGAACCAATTCACAGTAACATTGACTCCTGTATGGTTTCTGTAAAGGCCTGCAAATAATCCTGTACACACTCTACCCCATGGGCTATATGCTCAATCAAAAGCCCACTTTTAAATTTGGAGATCAGAATTACTCATGTGGCCACTGCAAGGCCCTGATTTCTTGGTTGTCTCCCTATTATTTCTTCCAGTGGGGTTGAGTCCACTAAGAGTGCATCATGCAGCCAATAGCAAGTATTCTGCTTGATGAGACTGAGTGATTGAATTACTCCAGCCATGACAAACCTATACCTCACAGGAGGTGCCTAAAAGTGGACTACTCTGGTCCATACCCTTAGCTGGTCTCCTTCAGAATTTCACACAGGCTTTTCCCATTCATATACATTATGATATATATGAATGGGAAACTATATCTAGTATATCTCAGTAAATGAATGCAGAAAAAAAAAACATCAACAGAAAAAAAGAATAGAAATTGGGTCTGAAGAGGTTAATAACAAGAGCAAAGGGAGTCCATTCTTCACCTCATAGCTGACAGAATGAAGTGCTTCAAACACGACATTCAGACTTGGGACCATGGATGAATTGGAGATACAGGTAGTATGATGTTGACCAGGGTCAGGATCTGGGGAAGAGGATGCTCCCCTCATATTGTCCAACCCATGCTAATTATGCATAAATACATGGCCTCATGTTGGAAACAAAAACACATGCACCAAGAGATCGGGAAGGTATCTCAGAGACACACTACCTGTTGGACATAAGATGTGTTGGGAAGCATGCTTTGATCTTGCTGGACAAGCTTGAGGGCTTCTTCATGGCCCAAAACCTCATAGCTGCCATCAGGATGCTCCTTTATATATTGGGAGTCATCCTTTTGACCTGCAATCCAAGGTCAGGCTGGAATGACTGCAAATTATAAACTACACCATAACCACCAAAAATACAGGAAAAACAGCTCACCAGAATATTGAAAGGAATTGGAAAGCATGTTGGCTTCTTGAGGTACAGACCTGAGGAAATTCTCCATCATAGGTTGAGAAGAAGGGAAGCTGGAGGACACAGGGTTGATGGGAGAGAGCATCTGTAAGCAGCCTTGAGTTTGTTTCATAGCTTCTTCCTCTAAATCCACAGCCAAACGCTGTGTTTTTGCTTTTGCAAAGGACATCATACTCTCACTCAATGGTTTGTCCGTTATTACTTGAGTCCCACTCTTGAAATTAATACCACATGGGGGTGGCACTACACGAGTAAGGAGGGATCCATCACGAACTTCCTGTACCACATGAGCCACCACTGGAACCTACAAAACCAGTATGGTAACATATACGTCCATTGTTGTGGAAGCGGAATTAGACAAATGGTTAATAATAAACATTGCTACTAATCACTTATTTCATAATACATTGAACCCTGGAACTGTAATATTACGGTACGAAGTCATGCCCAGCAGCCCAAACTTGTAATAATACATTTTGATGCAGACCTGTATTTAAATACTTTCATATTGAAATCCGTATACCGCTGGCAATATCAGTTGATTCACTGAACATTCCTGAACAAATTGGTGATGGAATCACACTGATATGTTAATTAGTTATGTAAATATTACTTTTTTCCTAAATAACTACTGTAGTTTCTCTGGAAAATGACCAGGCTGCAGTTGTTGAATAGAGTTTATGTGCCCGGGACTCAATATGTTAAGTACCATGCTGCATATGAGTGGGAGCTAGGGATTGATTTTACCATGTCCATGCTGCTTCCATTGCATCCAAGTGCAACTCCAATGCAGCAAAGCTTTCAATAGCCAACAGTGATAAGCCATTCAATCAGTACTGCATATGTAACAGACTTAGACACTTGGAGGGAGACGCCTTTGTCTTATCCCTCCCCCCCTTCCCCCCTTACATTACATAATTTGTGAACGGCCCCTTATATGTGCAATTTGGGTATGTTAAAAGCCACATTTTATCATTTTTATCATTTTTTCAGAGTTTGATGATAGTTAGCTGACTCAGAATCAGAAAGCTGCTCTAGCAATTTTCTCCTCATAGTGTATTATTACAAAATCTAGGGGGGGGAGAAATGTAATAGGAAAAAAAAACTGAATGCAAAAATATATACAGAACTTGCAGTAGCTGGTCTAAAAGAGCTGTTGAAGGTGGTCATTTTACAGAAACTGTTGACCTTTGCTATCATATAATATATAACTATCTCAATATAACAATTTGAGAGTGGCACAATAAGACTGTCTTTGAGTTTTATATTGGTATAACTTTTGTAGTTAATCATGCCTGGATTTAAAAAAATAAATAAATAAATAGGCCATAGTAAGATAAAAATATGAATTTGGTCTCATTTGAAAGAATATCATTTATGAAGTCATGATTGAAGTGATGAACACTTTTCTTGAGATTTTGAAAAATGAATTTAAAAAAAATCTAATTCCAGGATATACCAAATTAGAACCTACATGAAGCTTGATTATGAATAAAATTTAAATTGAATTCATATTTACTATGTAGAAGGCAACTGGTAAAGTTCATAAATGAAGAGAGAGTGGAACTGGGGTAGCCTACATATTCAAAAAGTGCTTTAAAAAAAAGTGAAAGGCAAAGCATAAAAATACAGGAAGTACCAGGTGCAAAAGGGCATGTCAAGAGGTCAAGATCACAGGAGAAGGAACAAAAGCATTCAGGCATTTGGTCAATCTTCAAGAAAAAAAAGGTTTTTTTTTTCAAAATTTCACAAAGATTATGAAGTCAGTTCCATCTTATTCCAACATTCCAGAATGTTGCTGTGAAGAAAAACAATGCAATGCTGTGCAAATGAGAAAGTAGGCATCATGTCCATGTGTGACACTAATTTTATGGGACAAATGCAAGGCTTCATAAACAGCACCTATTTAATCACATCCATGAGAAGTAAATGTCACAAAAATAAGCTGTAATCTGGTATTTGTCTTGATTCACAAGGCTGTGGTGGCTGGGATGTATAAGCCTCTTCAGAACTAGGCCTAGTCAATTCGCATATTAAGAGGTTTACTGCAGTGGCCTAAATGGGTTTGGCATCAAGCTGTAGCTAAGAGATGTGTGCCACCTAAGGGTTATTGTCCTCTTTAACCTCAAGCATGAGGTCATAGTAGGTCAAAAATATTATTTTCTCAGATTTTGCAATCATTTACTAAAAGAATTAGACTGTAATACTAACTTTCTGATTCTGAGTTGGTTGAAAATCAGAGACAAGTCCACTTTAATAAAGATGACTTAAAAGTTGCAACCCTCTGCCATGAACAAGAGTAGCCTATGCATCAACAAAAGGAAATGGGGAAAATGGAATGCTGCTATAGAAGTGTTCATCCAAATGATTCAACAGCTGCTTGTCAGCTTTGTATGCTAGGGTTCTGATTGCTAGTATGACATATTAGCACTCAGCCATGCTTGGGCAATTCAATGAAATTATCCTGATTTATGAAAAAGTTCAGACAGAAAAAGTGCAGCTATTGAATGTAATTCAGCAATACCTTTATTTTGCTCATGCACCACACCTCATAGCATCCCTTCATAACACTAGGGAACCCAAACCTTTATACCCCTGTACCCAAATCCCACCCTTGTAATTCCTTTCCTCCAGAAAACTGGTCAGAATCCTTTTTGTTGTCATGGTGATTGCATGAGTAGTGAGGTTTGAAGGCCTTAAATGAGGGTCTTACAGAATTAAGTTCAATTGTCATACCACCAATACTTTGTGCAAATGCAGCAGATGTGTGTGTGTGTGCGTGTGTGTGTGTGAGAGAGAGAGAGAGAGAGGGAAAATGAAATCATATCATGTTTTCCTTTATATCAATTTTGATTCATGCAATCAAGTGTAACTTACATTGTTTTGCTGGAGAAAAACTCAAAATGGTGATCTACAATTTTCTATGTGGAACACTTGCTACTATGTTCCAAGTGGGAGGTTTCCTTGACTCTCATTAGATGCATACCAATGCTAAATTTCATGTGAAACCCCAGCCACCAGTTACCATGTCACCAGTACACAAAATTTTTAGTTTTTGGGAAATGTGACTTACAATATCATTTTTCAGTATGAGGGATGAAACCATTTCCATTACTTTGGGTATCATTTAACAGTCCCATTTCTCATATTTTCAACAAAACCAGATTCATTGCATTAAAAGAATTAGATTTTCCTTTTCTTTGAAGTGACGGTCACATGACTTACATGACAGAAAGTTCACTTGGAATAATGCTGCATTTGGTGTTTCAACTTGATGTAGAATAAAATGTTCTTGAACTTTTGGGATGACCCTCATAAGTTGATTGGGAAATTGCCTTGGTACATCCATAGAAAAACATGTAGACTGTGATGATCCAGGATGACCTTAGACCCAAATTAGCACAACCTCTTCAGGGATGAATTTTTTACAAACAAAAAAAAAATTAAAGGTGTAGAGTACTTTGCATGCTGGAGGAACAGTGATACCAACTGCAATGAAGAATCCCAACAAATTGAAAACATCTGTGGCATCTGAGCAGTTGGGGATCAGCTTTTGACAAATTTAAAATGCATTGAATCAAACATCCACATTTGTGCCAGAATCCCTGAAGAGGTTAAATGAGCTATCTCAATGGTAAAACCTGGTTTCAGTAGGATGGAGCAGAAGCTCACATCACATGTGCTTCTATGGATGTACTGAGGCAGTTGTTTCACAATCAATTCATGTCCCAGTTTGGAGATATTGATTGGCCAGCAAGAAGCCCTGATTTGACACCTCCCACTATTTTTTGTGGGGAACTTTGAAGTCAACTGCATACCAAAACAAGCCTTCCACCCCGGATCAACTCAAGGATAACATCAGGGAGGCCATGCAGAATAGTGACATTGAGACCATTCACAAAGTTATGATGAACACCCTTTTGCAAGCAAGGGAATGTGAAGCTCAGAATGGGGACCATCTACAGGGTGTCCCATTTACTGCAGACGATTTTAATTGCATATAAAATTCTTCCTACTTGAGCAAACTGAACAAAATTTTCACAGTATTTACATGTCTGTTTAGCATTTATTTTGAAAAAGTTTCAGCCAAAACAAATTCACCAATTACAAGCTATGAACTTCAACATATGGCTTCATTTTCAAGAAATAATTGTGTATTGAGTAGAGTGAGATATTTTGATCCATGCATTTAAGATCTCCCACATTTGTACTTTATGACAGATTGAATACCTGTGCCAAAAATAACAGAGCAATTTTATATGCAAATAATATGTATCAGTCTTTTCTGGCCCACCCTGTATATAGGTTTTGAACCTTGCCCATGACTGCATTACCTTTCCTACTTGTGCCAATCACCTGACAATTATGCAACTACTATTAATAAAGTCAAGTGCTGGACAAAAAAGTGGATTTCATAATTTCATACCAGCATGCCAAATATGGTTGAAACATACTGTACATACATCTTCCACATACATCTGACATCAACAATAATACATATTTGGTCATATCAGAAATAGAGATATGGAGATACAGAAATTAAAACTGCAACTTAACTTATATATAAATTAGTTAAGAGCAAAACCTCACCCCATAAGACATGTCAAAGGAAATAACATTCATTTAATCAGATGATATTTCCTCTGAATGTTAAAAAAGTAATTTCTAAGTTGACTTAGAAATTACTTTTTTTGTACTTAAGAAACATGTGTTGCTGATACAATCATTTAACCACTGCATAAGTTTTAATGTTAGTGTTGGAAATATTAGGATCCTGTGAAAGTGATATCATGACATCAACAAAAATGATCTTCCTCCCACCTGGATTTGAATGGGGATTCCCTTTCCCACACAGTCAGCATCAGGAACAGGAGAAATCACCTTTCCAGATGATTTCAGCTCTTCAGCTGTTGCTGGCATCAGCATCTGAGAGGAAACTTCAACTCAAATTAACTAATGGGTCTTGAGTTGATGGTATGGACTTTTACTCACTTGTCGGCCATCAGAGTATGGGATAACCTTGCAAAGGACAGGCATTCCTTCCAGTGGTTTCAAGAGTGCAAATGGTGTCTCCTTTCTAGCTAAGATCTCTTGCACATTCTTGGTTTTGATCTCATCAACTATGACACAGGGTCCCTACATACAAGAACAATTATTGCAAAATCAGATTGAACGAATTCCAGTGGGAAATGGAATGAAACAAGGCATTGAGTGAATCCTTCCATGCATTGTCTTCTCAACATGAAAAAGTGGTATTGTGTTGGTAGGAAAGAGGGACTGCCATGCTGAGGATGATACAAGCAGAAGTACTCACAAGACAAGAGATACTCAAAGCAGGTACTCATTATGCCTGTCAGCTGTGAACATACAGCTTTCCATCATCATTTCAAAAGCTACTGCGGCCTCTCCACCATGCCTTTCAATTGAAACTCATTATTTTAAATAAATTTATATTCCAGAGCTATATCTGTCATAACATAAGCCACAACTCATTACAATTTTCATATAATTTTCCAAACAGCCACCCATAACATTAAAACAACTCTGCCATTTTGGTTTTACCATTGAATATTCTAAAATGAAAATCTCAGCTTCCAATATCAAAGCAACAATCCATGCAAAAGCTCTTTTCCCACTCTATAATTTCTTAACTGGTGAAAACAAACAGTACCACCTGCCTTCACACATAGATTGTGGGATGAAAAGCCTTCATAAGATATTGCAGAGTAGACATGGATGGCTGTACAACTGTGAACATCAACTGACCTTCTATTGTCCATGATAATTTCCCCAAGTTTGTTCCTATACATATACACCTTGTTCACCTTAGATAAAATTTATGTTTCATACAAGGCAAGACCTAGATCAAAAGAGGAAAAAGAAAATGGTCTCCATGCAGTGATGTATCTGCAAGCCAAAATATACTTATTAACTTGTAACATCCAGAGAGAAAACCCCACACATGCACACATACATCCACAGCATAGGTCAAATCCTATAGGCCATCTTTGAGCCAATGGAGATGGTTAGTGTTGAGCAGAGAGAGAGAGAGAGAGAGAGAGAGAAACATGAGTAAAAAGAAAATGCAAAAAGGAAACAAGGGTACAAACGAAAAAGAGAAGATAACTTCGATGATGAAATCAACAAGGGCCATCACTGATAGAGGAAAAATAGCATCATACATCAAAAGACTGTGATGGTTTACTGGTATGCCCAAGGAGCTGATTGAGCAGGGCAGAGGCTGATACTCCTGGCAGTAGAAATGGACTGAAAGAAAGAGGCAACAAAGAAAACTGAATTTCTCCTCACAATGAAAAAGGGCAAGATTGCATCTTTCTAATAAAGACTCACTTGGTACTATGCAAACCTTGCTTGCATTTATGTTCCTGCTGAACATGAGCTTCAAGAAGATGTGAATCACTAAACATTTCAGGACAGAGAGAGCAAATGAATGTTCTTGACCCACTTTTGTGCTGATGGATCTATTGGAAAGAAGGGGCATAATATTTACAAAATCATGAACTATTTGGAACTCATATTTTCATTACTTCCTGCATATCACCAGATCATTCTCAACCTTCTCAAAGGCACTGTCCATTTCTTACCTTGATCTGATGAGAGACCAGAGAAGCATGATGACTGTATCCCTTGTTGCACAACTCACATGTGTATGTTTTTGGAGGAGTACAGCAAGCTCTGTCCTGGTGCAGTTTCAGACTACCTGTCATGATTATGAAGTATCTTATTCACATCTGAGCATGCAAGGAAGGCTTGCATTCAGTTGATCAAGAATGAGGATCACCTTTCTGAGAAAATGTCTTCCCGCAGGTATCACACTGGAAGGGTCGTTCGTGAATATGACTCTTGCGATGACAGATCAAGGAAGAAACACGAGAAAATGTCTTCTGACAGACCTCACATACATATGGTTGTACAGCCAGATGGGTGGTCAGATGCTGAGTCAATGAGCTAGACTGAAAAATTTACTTTGGTATGAATAACTTATTTTGTTCTGAGACCAAATTCACCCAGAAAGAGATGATTACTTACCTGCTTGAAGGAACGACCACAGTGTTCACAAGTGAAGTGACGATCATGAAAATGAATGGCCAAATGTCGGAAGAGAACAAACTGATGCCGGAATGACTTCCCACCTTCCACAAAAATAGTCATTATGCTATTCATCTTGGAAGTATTTCACTTGGAAGATGAGAATATTCAGGAAGGTATCTTACCAATAATTACACTTCAAGTACAGGGTGAGCCATAAATATTCAAACAAAATTGAGGAAGAGAAGCAAAGTTAAAAACAGGAGTAGCACCAATTGGTCAGTGTTTCTTTGGCAGCCATTCTTGGGTGTTTCAATATGACCCCATTCTGAGTCATAAGGCTCAATCTTTACAAATAAGGATAACAGGCCAAGTAGCAAAAATTATCTGCAAACATGAATGGCAACTACAACTCAGACTCTGATCTGATGGGATGCTGTATGTAGAGTGTGCTGGAAGTTAGCATCCCAAAACAAAATCCAGCATTCCCAAGCCAGTTAAAGCTGGTGCTGAATGAGGAGTGGAACAATGTTCTGGCTGGTGCAATCAACTAGTGGACTTGAAGATTGTAGATTGAAGTCTAGAAGAGGGGAGAACATTGAAAATATTCTGTAAATAGTTACAGAGGGCCTTTCTGTCTCAGTCAGATTCAGTTGATTCAATGGGAAAGGGTTAACACAGGAAAATAAAATACATTAACTTTGTGTGGATACTTATGGCCCATCCTGTACATCCAATTAGCCTTGATTTTAAGGTATAACAAGGGAGAAAGTAGGGCTGTCATGAAGCACTGATGCCACTATAGATAGAGGTAAAGATGGTTTCATCAATCTATGCAACAGTAAGCTGATCCTCCATGATTGTAGATGAGAGACAACAGAAGAAAGAAAGTACCAGCCCCAATTAATATCATAAATGGTGGAAGGGACAAATTGCCACCCAATCATGATCACCTAACCCCCCTGGATTGATCATGGCAAGAAAGGTTGGGAGGTAAGCCCCCTTGATTGTTACAAAAGGGGACAGAATGGAATCTGCCAGCACTATCTACCTCCACCCCACATGCAATGCATTTATGAATCCTCCATTAGTTCTGGTTCATAAATCAATGTTTTCAAAGCAGCCATCATGACAGCCCTAGTAGAAAGTAAAGAAAGTTTGATAGAAACTCACACATCCCACATTCCATCACCTTGACATTCTTCTCAGATTCACATCTGCTGACTCCTTGGGCATCAGCCTGAACCTCTTTAATATAGCGCAAGAAGTGAAGAATTTCTGTAGGATCCTCGCAATCTTTGTTTCTGTTTTCTGCAATTTGTTTATTGCGGAAGTCTATATCCTCTGTTGTTTGAATCACCTGCAACCAAAGCCATCAAATGAGGTTGCTTCCTTTCTCTATAATTGTTTGGAACCAGCAAATATTAAATAATAAGAACCTTGAACTTGAGTTTCTTATTTCTGCGAGATGGTCCAGGAAAGATTCCTTGTCTCATGTCAGGAGTAACCACTTTCTTCTCAAGCCGATATCCCAAATCACTTCCAAGAGCATCTTGAAGTTCAGCAAGGATCTCTGCAGCCTTCAAGGGCATATAAAAATTAAAACAGAATGATTTTAGAATCCCTGCAAAAGCAGAGAAAAATGTGCCTCCTGTATGCTCACCTTGGGAGTATCATCAATACTAATGAGAGATGAAAGGTCATTAATGGTGATAGGTGTGGTGGCAATCCTAGCTTTGCAGGTGTTCTTCTGCCTCTTTTTGACCTTTAAGTTCATCACACTTTCTTCCTCAGGCTCATCATCATTCTTATCTTCATCAGTCTCAGCATCTTCATCCTCCTCCTCTTCTCCAAAAGGACAACTAGCAGCTGTCTTCTTCTTCTTCTTCCCTCTTCCTTGTTTATTCTTGTGAGAACCCTTCATTGCAAAAAACTGCATCTCAGGACTGATGCGTCCAACTATGAGCTTTCGGCGTTCCTCCTCACTCTCATCACTTTCCTCTCCATTCCCAGTCCATGTTCCAAGGAATGTCATATCAGGATCTGCCTCAATTTCCTGTAGTACTGATACCATTCCCTGATCATTTGGAATCTTCCCCACTGTGTCTTGCACTGTTGAAGATTCCATCCCATTCACTAGTGGCTTATCTTGCAGTATTAACGGCTGTGTTGGCTTGGCAGTTTCTGCAGCAGCTGCAGGCAGAATTTCTTCTCTGTCTGAAACACTTCCATCATCTCCTAGATGCATTACTTCTTTGATCCACTTCTCAGAAAGAGATGAGAGCTCAGCTTCCAGGGCATCTATATTTCTCCCTCCATTTCTTGACCTAACAAGAAATATATTATTTTAAATTACTTCAACTGTCAACAGTCACTAGACATAAATATTCCACCTGGGGAGAGCTGAGCCTTAAAAGCATTTCTTTATAAATCCTCTATACTCACCAGCGAGTTCGAGATTTTCCTGAAGACATTTTCCTTTTAGCTCTTCCAGAAAACTTGGAACTCTGAACCTGGAACTTCATCACCTCTGTGCCTATAGTAAAAGCTAGCTCCCCCTCATCATTGTGTTTATCTGAAGCTTTCTTCATAGAGGCATTATCTCCATTCTGCCCTATAAACCTTACTTCATCACTTGAAATACTTGATGATGGCATTCCTTGACAGTCCTTTGTTGGCAACTGAGTCTCTCTCAGAGATGCACCTGAAGGGACAGATGATTGACCAGTGGTAAGTTTCTCTTGAGCAGGCCAACAATATTGATCAACCTTTTCACCAGAAAGAAGAGAACCATTGGAGCTCTCTTTTGGCATCCACTTCTTTTGCCTAAAATTCCTCCTGGGACGTTTTGAGTTTGCAATTCCAATTGAAATTGCTGGCAAGGTATCAGAATTGTTATATCCTGTCTTGCTCTCTTCTAGTCCTGATCCCAAGACAACATTATCTCTCTTCTTAGTATTCTGGAAAGTATAAGATTTGTCCTGAAATACTGATACCTGGTGATCTGATCCAGAATTCAGTTTGGCAGATCTATCCACTTTTCTCCACTTTCTCACCAGTGCAGATGAAGAATCGGCAGACAAGTTATGTGAATTACATTGTGAACTGCTGAGGAGAGTATGTCCAGCATGCTTCCTAATAGGCCTATGAACACATTCCCCCAAATTCCTCAATGCCTCCTGTGGAAACAGAGGTGAGATCAATGGTGTATCAGCAGAGTCACATGACTCAGAAATGGAATATTTCTTGACATTCTTTGAGTTCTTCTGAAGAGAAATTTCCCCCCTCTCCAAAGAAGAATCATCCCTGGAAGTTCCTCTTGTAGATTTTGATAACTTAGACACAAAGCTTTTCTGCAACTGTTCCTTTGAAGACTTTGATACTTTCTGCTGTACAGATTGACTAGGTGAGAAGAAAAGTAAGTCATCAGAGCTGCTCATGTCCAAACAAACCTCTTCCCCTCTATGCTTTGATGTCTGTGACATAGCAATCTCCTTCTGTCTATTGCATTGAGGAGTATTATCCTTTGAGAGCACAGTAGCAGTCCATACATTCTTCCCCTGTATGAAACATTGTTTGGAATCTTCTAGGCTAGAAGTCACAGGTGAAGACTTGCACAGAGGTGAGTTATTAGAACTGCTACATTTGGAACGAGAATCTGATTTTCTATTCTTGGAATGCTTGTAAACAGAAGATCCACTTCTCAGCAATGACAATCGTTTGTGGTTCTGTCCATGCTGGGATGCAGGCACTCTTGAATTTTTCTTTAAAAGTTTTTGAGGCTCAGCTGGCCTCTGGGGTGATTCAAATGGAGGTAATGCTGCAGATGAGCTTTGGCTGAAATCATTTTTCTCTGAAACTATTGGCCTCTTCCTTGGTCTGCTTCCCACTGGGGATTCAAAATCTTGACATTTCAGTTTTTTCTCAGGGGGTAAGTCAACTTTGGTCTCATCTTTAGTTCCAGTTATCTCAGCTGCCAAATTGTCATCAACAGGATCACCATGATAATGATTGTGAGACTCATGCTGGTTTTTGGTGCCTAAGACACCATCATATTTAGAATGGCTTCGAAGGGTCCTCATCATTTCACTCAAGTTGATTTATTGAATCATCTGTTCAGAAGCATGGGGGGAGAGAGAGATGAAGAAAGATATACAAACAGAGTATTGTCATTCCATCTAAATGGATACTAGTAAGCCAAACAGATACCAACAGATACAACAAGCCAGCTGTTAGCAGCATTTTAACTGATACTCTGAATAGCATTATTAGAATTGATAGATCTGATGATTTTCTATTTCTAGTAGTAACATGCTTTGTTTCTGAAGGTTAACCTTTTTTTGACATTGATCCTGCACTTGGAAAAGCTTTATCTTTGTTTTTGAAAAGAAAAATGTGGATGTAATTGAATTGAAAGAAAATGATAGAATGACTGTCATTTTTAGAAAATCACGATTTGCTAAACTTTCATGGATAAGCAGACTTGATTTTATTTGTACCCACAGATTTCACAAATACTAGTGTTGGTATTGGTCCAAAAAAGCAATCGCCACAAATTTTTTGTTAGGATACAAAGTATGGGTGAGACGAAGACCTACTGGAATTAAGGTCAAGAATGGAACACAAGCACATGGCCATATCATTCATGGTGAGTCATGAGTAAGTCAAGAAGTTTGAAGTCTCATATTTGCAAACAGAAAAGTTATGAAAAAAGTTTGTCTTCTAATAGAACTAATGTTACACAATGAAACAGTAACAATTGATATTTAAAAAGGTTTGGATCTTACTTTGTCAGGCAAGATGAAGTAATCAAGCATTGCAATGTCATCGGTCATCATGTTTGGAAACATCTTACAAAACTCAGGCCATGTGTCACCGTTGCTGTAAAATTAGACCTGAATAAGTCTGGGACAATATAACTTTTACCAGAAGTTGCTCAGAAGGCAGACCACAGAGCCTCAGGACAATCCAAGTCATTGTGAAAATTAGCAACTTGATTTCTAGATACTTAGTTGATCATCTGCAGTTCCCAGAAGTCAAGTCACCAACTTTGACAAGGGCTTCGAGTGTTTCAGGAGATGACACAATTTTGAGCATTGTAAGATATCTTTGAACATGGTGGTCAACAATGTTCCAATAGTCAATTGTTTCATCTCATTGTTTCTGAGAATATCATTTTCACCCAGATATCCATCAGATGTGTACACCTATTAACTAGACAGTAGGCAGATAAGACTCTACTGCCTTAGTTCCACACCCATAATCCCCCTTACTCTCATTCCCTCAAATTTCTCAACACTCTCTTTCAGCAACTATGCACACTAGCCCAAAGAAGCAGAAATCAGCACATTATAATGCCACCCAACTTTCCACAATTATGAACTTCTGTTCATCTCTCCCCCCCCCCTCCTCCCCATTTCCCACCCTTTTACTCCTCTGATCACTCGTGTAATCACCTCAAGCAGGCTACTCAATTGGTGCCAGATTTTCTAATTACCATGATGTACAGGGAAGATGGAGATGGAACTTCAATGTAGCACATTCCTCATCTCTAAAAGCCAACCTTGGAGAAATGCATGGAGAAATTGAGCTATCATGAAGGCTCTAGGGCTTGCATTGATGCTGATTAACATGTAGATTTGCTGGCTAAAGAGATGTTTGGCCACCAGGTTTTGACATGTTGTATCCAGTTTCAAAGAACAACTTCCTGCTTGTTATTACCATTCTGCAATGGCTTCATCCCATAAGCAGAAATTGCATAAAACTTATTTATTTTGGTTTCAGATCAGCATGGAATCTGAAAAACTAAGAAGAAATGACACAAAACATTGTGCCAGTGTAGCCTTAGATTCAGAAGGTTCAGAGGCTTCATGGATGAAAAAAAAAGCCCCTATTCCCAAGGACAGAGATTACAGAAGCCCCCTTGAGCTGTCAGGAGTATGAACACTCAGGTCTTACATCAGTCATTCAGGTACCACACTTGCATTGTTCTTCACAACCATGATTGGAAGAATTTTAAATTCTAAGCATGTGTGAGGGGTGTTCAAAAGATCAACGATCAACCTGGTGCCAACTCTGGGGTTATGTTAACTTGCTATAGCAAGTACTTGACTAGTATGAAGTGGAACACCTGAATTTTCAAGATCCTGTAAACCTGAGAGCCCCTTAGACACACTCTCTTATTCCTCATGCCACTGCTGCAACTGATCTCAATCATGCAGCAGTATAAGGATGTGCAAGTTATTCTCTAAACATACAGATCTACATTAGAGCAATTTTCCCTCTGAAGGAAGAGACAAACAGTGCGATACCTGAAATACCATCAGCATTGTTTCACTTGGGAAGGATTGAGGTATAGTATTCTATGCTTTCTGTTTTCTGTAAGGATTACACTGAAACATAATCCCAATTTTTCCTCCCAGTTAGGTGAAGGGCACAGAAGGAAAGTAGGGCATCCTTGACAGATTCAAGAACCGAGTCTTCTGGGACTTCTGACTTCACCGGTCCTAATCAGAGACTGACCATTCACTACTACTTTCTGTTTATGGTTTATTGCAGGTACTCGTGTGGAACCATGTTGGCAAAGTTTAAGGCAATGACATCGGTTTGATGACATAAGTCAAGGCTTGTTGCCCAGTCATGCATGCAACCACAAAGCACTATATTGGATTAAGAGCTCCCATAAAATCCTTGCTTCCCGCAAGAATACAGTGATTTAAGTAGTCATTAACAAGTAAATGAAATACAGGGTGGTGCAAAAGTCATGCCCCATAGGGATTTTGAATAATAATAAGAAAAAATCATTTCTCTCTCTCTCTCTTTGGATATTGCTCAGTAAATTCTGTAGCAACTGATCAATTTGAAGCACCTTGCCTTCCATACATTAAAACCAAGCTCACCCTCTTGTCTTGTGTTAATTTTGCAGCCTGGAAAGAAATATATATATAATTGCTCTATGGAGTGTGACTTTTGTGCCACCCTGCATATACTCTGCATGGTGAACCAATAAAAGATTCCCTCTTTGTCATCTGGTTGCTAAATCTGTACTAAGATCCATCCTTGCAATTTGAAGAATAAATAATACTACCCTTCCTTAACTGAATGCTATTTATTTCAAAGAAACGAGACAAATAACTCTTAACCACAAGTAATTTTAATTTTATTTGCATCAAGGTCAAAAATAGCAGTTGCTGGCACATTATTTACTTAAACATTAAATGTCAATAATTTATTTTATAAATGTAGAATTCACTTAAAGCTAAGGTAACAACCATCAATTAACCAGAACTGATAAAAGCAATACTTTGACAAGTATTATCAGCCAAACCCATGAATGTTTGATTATTCCAGTGATTTTGTCCTGGCTTGGCTGGCTCCAGAAGGTGATGATTTGCTCATGGGTAGTGAATGTCATGGATTTTTCATTGGGCTTCATCTCCTGCACCATGCCCCAAATCCAGTAATCAACAAAATTCAGAGGCCATTCATTAGGTTCTGCAATATCCAGACAACACTCACACAGGGTGCAAACATACATTCTGAACAGACATGGGGCACCATTTCACTGCAAGGAGTAAACATCACTATTCTGTAGTCTTTGGCAGCAAAAATGCAATCATTGCAGTAATACTCAGCATCTACCGTTACATATTTCCCAACAAAAGTCACATACATTTTCCAGCTTTGACACACCCACTGACACCATAACACACACTTTGAAACATGGTTTTCTTCAGCAATGCTCTGTGGCATCAACTGTAAACCAAATCTTGCCTATAAAGGAAAGACCAAAGGAGCAGCTGGCACCACACAAATCTCATCACCTGAAGGGTTGATGATAGTTGCTGCATGCACACTTGCTTGAATGCATTAGGGTGGAGATACTTTTTTGCAATGCAATGAACAGAACAGTGGGAAATTCCTATGTGCCTTGAAAATTCACAAGCAATTGAACTGTTTCATGGATTGCCTTCTTGGTTGCAAATCAGTTACTGAATGAGACCTATATAATCTGGAGTTCTGACGATGCACGGGCTTCCATTGTC